TGAAATTCATTTGATGTTACGACGAGTGGTGGAGCTTTGTTCTTTTGACAAATGCTGGGAGTCCCTCCGTAAATAACGTAATGCGAACATGGCACTACAGTGCACATATTTGGTGGTGCGTCTCTCACAGGCTTATCTTTCACTCTTCATAAACATTTGAGTGCTGTTTTACCTTGCGTGCGTGCATGTGTGTGTGTGCGTGTGTGTGTGTGTGTGAGTGAGAGAGAGAGAGAGAGAGAGAGAGAGAGAGAGAGAGAGAGAGAACACACACCAGTACAGGTGTGTGTTTATATAATTGGGCACCTCAGTCAGTCCTGTGAGCAGTGTTCAATGAGCGAGTTCTTCTGTGGTGTATTTACTTGAATTCATTGTATCCTTTCAGCTTTGAATTTAAGCACTGTATATATTTAACCCAACTGCCCGGAGTTGGAGGCAGTGGAAGACAGGAGGGCCTGGCATGCTCTGTCCATGGGGTCACGAAGAATCGGACAAGACTAAACAACAACAAAATATATTTATGCACTGTCCATTCACAGGAGCAGGCTATCGGGTGTTGAACAGACGATTCCATGCCTCTCACCCTAGAGGGTGCAGCTGTTCCAACCCTATTGTTAGATATAAGGAGGAACCGTGCCTGGAAAGAGACCTGACAAAGCTGTTAAACAAGGGGTGACGTTTAACTTTTATTGGAAGGCAGCTTCCAAGAGCCTTAGCTGGCCCTGGCAAGTTGGTCTGGTAATGTTCATAGAAACAGAGAAGCCGAATCTACAACCAAGGACATCATTTTTCCCCTTCACAGGACACTGCCTCTTAAAGTCAACATGATGTGATGCTGTCTCGGATCACAAGCCTTTGGGAACCATGCATACCCACGTACATTGCAGACTGTAGCAAAACCAAGAGCAGAACAGCAGTTGGATTAAGAATCAAAATAAGGCAGAAAGCACAAAGAAATAGAAAGATAAAAATGGGAGGGGGACTTTGCAGAGAGTTCTGTTGGAATAGAAAAAAGCAACCCCTGTTTTGTTTGGCAAAGACTCCATCCACGTACAATGTTGCTTCTAGAGCAACTTGAACTTCACAGCCAGAAGGGACTCCATGATGTAACAAATATTAATGGGCCCAATGTCTTCGTTTACTTTTGTGATCTCTCACATCTGTAGGTTTGCCCCGTTGTCAACTCTGTGATGAGTCTCAAGGTATGAATTGTGAGTGGAACATTTCCTACATTTCTGTTATTTGTGTGGTCTGCCTCCTCTGTGGATTCTCTGATTCTTCATGAAATCTTGACTCAGGAATAATATACTTCCCCCAGTCTTGTATTTGTATGACCTCTTTGTTGTGTGGATCCTCTGATGTTTCAGAAGGTGTGAATGTTGAGAAAAACATTTCCCACACTCCTGGCACGTGTATGGTTTCTCTCCTGTGTGGACTCTCTCATGTTTGAGAAGATGTGAATTCCGAGCAAAACATTTCCCACACTCCTGGCATCTGAAGGGCTTCTCTCCCGTGTGGGCTCGCTGGTGTGTCAGAAGGTTTGCATTCTGAACAAAACCTTTCCCACACTCCTGGCATGTGTATGGCTTCTCTCCTGTATGAATTCTCCGGTGTGTGAGAAGGTTCGAATTCCGAGCAAACTGTTTCCCACATTCCTGACACTTGTAGGGTTTCTCTCCAGTATGAATTCTCTGGTGCTTCACAAGGCCTGAACTTTGGGAAAAACATTTGCCACAATACTGACATTTGAATGGTTTCTCTCCCGTATGGACATTCTGATGGGCAAGAAGATTTGAAGGGTAAGTAAAACATTTCCCACACTCCTGGCACTGGTGTAGTTTCTCTCCGGTGTGGACTCTCTGGTGGGTCAAAAGGGCTGAACTGTAACAAAAACCCTTCCCACACTCCTGGCATTTGTAGGGTTTCTCTCCGGTGTGGACTCTCTGATGTTCAAGAAGGGTTGAATTCTGAGCAAAGCCTTCCCCACACTCTTGACATTTGTAGGGTTTCTCTCCCACATGGACACTCTGGTGGGCGAGAAGGTTTGAAGGGTAAGTAAAACATTTCCCACAGTCTTCACATTGGTACTGGACTCTTTCATGCATCTGAAGGAAGAAAGGGCCGGCAGAACTTTCCTCACATTCCTGACACGGGCGTTTTCCCCCTCCTCTCCCCAATGTCTGCTGGCTTATAAATTGTGGCTTGCTGTCCATTCCTTTTCCAGAGGCTTCGTTTTTGAAATGTATGTTTTCATATGGTACCTTCCCGTGAACTGGAAGTGCCACACTTTCAGGAAAATGTTCCCAATACATGATGGACTTGTAAGGTTCTTCTCTGGCATAACTTTCTTCATCTGGTGGAAGAACAACAAGTAGAGAAAAGATTGAATCCGAACTGTGGAAAAAAACAATCCTTTGGAATGAAAAAAAAGGTCTAAATCAGCCCGAAAGAGCCTGAAAGGAAAACAATGTAAGGAAATAAGAGGATATAGAGCTATTTTTTTTCTCCTTCAAAGGAGCAGGGCGCTCTTTTGATCTCTTTGCTGATCCACATTTTAGTCTCCTAAAACTCCCAGTCCAAAACTTCCATTGTGACTCCTTCAGAGGAACCCTTCAGTGAGGATAAATTTTATTTATTTATTTATTTGATTTATATCCCGCCCATCTGGTCTATATGAACATTCCCCCAGGACCTGATGTGGAGGAAGAAGTGGTGGTCCTGCCGGACCTTGGAGCCTCATCCTGTAGCCGATGGTGGCCGAATCAAAAGCCGCCCAGAGTGGTAGAATATACCAGATGGGCGGGATATAAATCGAACAAACAAACAAACAAACAAATAAATAAATAAACAAAAAAGAAGGATTCCCACCAAACCCTGGAAAACATCCAAGTGGAAGGCATAAAATGAGTTTGAGGCATCCCATGGAAGTGTACAGCAGCAGGGATGGGCTCCTCAAGAGAAAGTCTTCTCAGGAGCAGACCACCTTTTTGGGAGAAAACTCTTGCCCCCCAGGCAAAAGAGGGCACCCAACCTTGTAGGTGAGACTCTTTCCCAGACAGCCAAACATCTCCCCTCAAATGTTGGGTGGATGCAGCCCAGCTGACTAAACCTTGAGAGAGAAAGCACTAGTCACTGGAGCCCATGTTCCTCTGGTCCCTGCTTGAGACTATAGGGTTTTCTGACCATGGCTGGGAATGGACTCTCTTGGTTTTGCTTCTGGATTTTCCTCTTTGGTGATAGCAACTAGAGATGGGGGTATTCGTATAAAAATATCCCCACACAGCTGGAGTTAACTAGGATCCAGCCCCTGGGGCCAGACCGTCCACTCCCACATCCGCTGGTGGCAGTGGCCCCGCTCATCCTTCTAATCACTCCTGAGCGCCATTCTCTTCCCAGTCATCTAGCCACTCCTGGCAGAGGGAAGCAGGACGAGTCTCCTTGCAAGGCTGCCGAGCGGCACTCCGGAGTAATTGGAAGGAAGAGAGGGGCCACCGGACATGTGAGTGGATGGGCTGGCCCCAGGGGCCAGAGCCTTGTTAACAGCCTCAGCTGTGCGGAGATATTCGTGTTCATATCCCAATATCCCCATCTTTAGTAGCCACTTTTGGAGTGGCTTAATTTAGATCCTCTGCACCTGTCTGGCATTACTGTCTAGTAGAACGTCTTGGCCACAGAAATGTTACAGGACCCACCCTACATGTGAGTGGATGGGCTGGCCCCAGGGGCCAGAGCCTTGTTAACAGCCTCAGCTGTGCGGAGATATTCGTGTTCATATCCCAATATCCCCATCTTTAGTAGCCACTTTTGGAGTGGCTTAATTTAGATCCTCTGCACCTGTCTGGCATTACTGTCTAGTAGAACGTCTTGGCCACAGAAATGTTACAGGACCCACCCTCCACCTTATTCGCAAGGAGCACCAACCTGTTAAGCCCAGCTCCTCTTTCACTCTCTCGTGAAATGGTGTGATGGCGGCAGGAAAGTGGAGAGGTTTGGTGGCTGCGTAAATGTTTTCCTCACCATCTGCAGCAGAAAAAGATCTCTGTTGTTTTGTTCATCAGAATAAAACAGACTTTCCATTTTTTTCCCCAAAGAAATCACTCTCTCAGTTTGGCTCACAATATTGAAAAATGTCTTCTCTGGGGCCCCTTTCCTAGACCTTCCAATTTAACTTGCTTCTTTCTTTTCAACTTGCTTTAGCCCCTGCCTGTCATCCATCATGACACAGGCTGTGAAAGAACATCATCAGGTTTATGCAATTAAGCAGAGACAGACACCCACCAGTTTGTCCCAATTCATCAAGGCGGCAGCACAGGTGGGGCTGCTTTCCCTCCCTCTCCTCCTCTGGCTCGATCGGCCACTCACCAGCTCCAGCATGCTAGCTTCCTGCACCTCCTCAACTGATCTTCCAGTCCAGGCAACAGTTCAGGCTTCTCTGCCCCGCCCCCTCAGCTGATCTGCCACTCAGAGAAACAGGCAGGACAGAAAAGTCTGTGCTCTTGCTCTTGACTGGGAGATCAGCTGAGGAGGTAGGTGGGAAAAGCAAACAAGCAAGCAGGGACTGGCTGATTGGCTGATCAATTGAGGAGGTGAGGGAGTGGAGCAGCAGCACCTGTGTTGTCACCTTTATGAACTGAAATGAATCGGTTCAAGGCCATTTCTACAGTCAGGATCAAAATCCCTTTCCTAACTCAAGTTTCACCTCTCCAGAATGCCCTAACACTGGGTGGAGAAACCTCTGTATTTGATGGAGATGGGCTCCATTTCCTCTTGGGCTTTACCACTGGCCAGGCTGATGAGGACTGATAGGATCCAGAATTCAGCCCTTCTTCAAGCCCACAAAAATCCTCCAGCTCTGCTCTAAGGCACCCCCCACCTTCCCATGAGAATGGTTGTGGTTGACAGTACTGTTACTACACTTAGTGTAAACCATGGAGAGAAGGGGACTTACCACAATAGGCCATGATCTGATTATTCTCCACCATGACTTCCCTGTACCAGGGATCTCTGGATCCAACAGTGCCCATTCCTCCTGGGTAAAATTTACAGCAACCTCCTCAAAGGTCATTTGAGCCTGAAGGAAAAGAAAGCATTTCCTGCTTAGGTCTAACAGAATCTAATATAATTTGTGAACCAAACTAAAGATGACGTAACTGGAATTTAAATCACAGAACATCGACCTTTTTGGGTGGAATTCACACTTCTAATAGGACTTTCCTGTTATCATTGATTTGGAGTCCAAAGGACCCCATACTCCCTCCACATGCTTCTGAATCCCATTTCCTTGGGAACAACAGCAGGAGGGAGAGGGCTGTAGTGTCTAGTTCCAATTCCCAGACTCCCCATAAGTGAGGGGGAAAGAGCTTGAGGGATGGAGGGGAAGATTTTACTTCTGGATAGGACCAGGGCTAGAAGTGGCCAATTGGGGCCACTCAAGAATGTAAAAAAAAACCAAGGAATTATATAAAGAACAGAAACCAGATAACACACTCCTTGATTAACTGGATTGAGGAAGAATTGCAAATCTCTAACTGCTGATTTTCTGGAAGTCTCCAAAACTGGGGAAAAGCTGCTTTGATGATGACAGAGTTTTAAATTTTGGCAGGCTGGGGCAGTCGAAGGGTTTGCAACAATGGCCTTGAAGAAATACACATTTCCTTCTCTGCTTCAGATCCCAAGTGAGCCACTGTTGGAAGAAAGATGAGGAGCTAAAGCAGACCTTTGGGCTGCCCAAGCAAGACACTTTTCGTGTTCTTTGCTCTCCCGGCGGAAAACAGAAGGAAACAATCTTTTCAGAAAGGCTTTGCTCTCCTACCTTATCCAATTCCTCTCCATCGCAGGGAAGAAGAGATGAAGGACCGCTTCTTCCACACAGCTTTCCAGCCCCTGGGGAAGAGACAAAAACAGTGCTATCAATTAGTCTCAATTATTGAAATCAAAAGAACACTGATTAATTAGAACATAACAACGTTGAGGTCTTTAACCTATTATTGGAGGAAATGTAGTATACAGATATCATTTGTATAGGTAAGAATGTGCAAGAATAGTCAAGTCACTGGTGGGTGTCAGGCTCTTTGCTACTCATAGTTTGCCTCTGGATCATCCCAGCTCTTCCTTTTTTTCATTTGGGTAAAAATGCTTCTCTCGTTTGACTTTCAACTCATAAAGAGACAAATATAAAATGCTTTGGGAGGGGCCAAAAATTAAAATGCCTTTCTGAAGTATAGAAAAGTCTGGTGATAAAAGATTTGTACCCACACCCCACAAAAATCTCTTGATTGGTACAGAGGGAAAAAAAATCCAGGATAAACATGCACCCACTCCCAGCAGGAATCCTTACCCTTCAAGGGGGCATCTCCATCATCATCATCATGTTCCTCCCCTCTGGGGAGCATACTCTGCCTCCTGTCCAGTGGGGCATTTTCTTTGGCAATGAAATCACACTGAAATTCTGCTGTAAAGTGTTTGATCTGATGGAGCAGTTGAGAACCGTAGCCAAGGAATTTGGAAAAGAAAACAAAAAGGATAGGCAGAAATCTTGGCAGATTAAATTCTGTTATGGGGGGAGATGATAGATAGCTCTCCACCAACAATGGGTGAAGATTTTGTGGATATTCTCTATCAATAAGAGGGAATGGAGGCATATTTCCCCATCCATGCCTACTGGGGTACAGAGGCCATATGCTCCTCACCTCTGCTTCACAGCCCCCAGGAAGAAATGTTGTCTCACCTTCTGCTCTTCCTTCCTCTTCTCCTCTGCCTGACTCAGGAGGAAGCCTTCGGCCAAGGCCACCGCCTGGGAACTGGTCTCTGCTCCACATTCCCGCACCCAGCTCTGAAGCTCGAGAGGAATTATAGCCAAGAATTGCTCCAGGATCACCAGGTCCAGGATCTGAGCCTTGGTGTGCTTTTCTGGTTTCAGCCACTTACGGCAAAGATGATGGAGTTGGGCGCAAGCCTCTCGGGGCCCCTCTGCCTCCTCATAAGAAAACTGTCTGAAGCACTGGTATTGCTCCTGTGAACCAATGATGTCCAGGTCATCCTGCCTCTTTCTTTCCCACAGGTCTGCCTTCCTTCCACTTTGCATCATCGGGGGGATTGTATCTGCTCCAACGCCAGCCAAGTCTTCCTCCCCCATCTTTGATCTCTGATTCATGGCAGTTTTCAAAGGAGTCTGAATTTTCTCTCTGGGGAAAAAAAAGCCTGTAGGAGCAGGACCTCCTTTAATTATCTGTAATATGAAAATATTGTTCTCTTAATAATTGCTACAGGATGTGTGAAGGCCAAATGTAGGAAATAGATCTCATTCCTAAAGGAAAGGCAGGCAAATGCCAAGGATAAAACCGAAATGAGGCCCCTGAGCCTTTCCCAGACAGGTTTTTCTTGTCATTTTCAACCAGGCATCCCCCAAATCCCATAGCCACGCACCCTCTCTTTGATCCTGACCTACATTTAGCCAATCCTGAGGTACCTGAACCCCATCAAGGTTTTTTTTTTAGAATAAAAGGTACTCAGAGGTTTTTCCCCAGGTTCATCTTCTCAGTCCTCTCTTGGACAAAAATATTACTTAGAGAAAACCACACACTGGCTCTATGTTTTCCCCGATAAGACCACTTTCTGATTTTTGGGGTAAGCTACTTTGGCAAAAGGAGGTTCTATTTCTAAGGGATCACCCTTACGAACAGTTCTTCTGGAAGAAACCAAAGATTAACCCAGGGCAGCCACCTACTAGGGATTTCAAGCCTTCCCTCTTCTTTTTGTTTTATTTTATTTCCTGTCCTCTTCCGAGTTATAACATCAGCCTTATGATCAGGAAGAGAGAGAAACCACGTCCTTCGCCATCAGGGGCAGGAGACCGGGCAGCCCCTTTCTGGCCTTCCTCCTTTGCTGGGGGGGGATGGTGGAGGGTGGAAGTCAAGACTTGCACCCCCTTCCGCCTCTCCTGCTTCCTCTAAATTAGACCGGCTTCCCCATCGGAGGACAGCTCGGCGCTTAAGAGCCACTCCAGGCAGACCCGGAGGGGGAAAAAAAATAGAAGGAAACAGGAAATGACCTATTGCAGTGACGGACCCCTGCCTCGGAGGACTTTCTACTTCCGGTCTATCCTGTGTCTCTCACTTCTAGGAATCCCAAATCTATGCCTTTAACCCTTCGAGTGACTATAATGAAGGCAACATCCATTTCCCTGAAACGTTTGGCTTTCCAGACGCGATCTTTTGCTGGCTTGGGAGGGAAAGGGCTTTAGGGGGTTTCCCCAGCCCAGAAGATCGGAGAATTGCTCATGTTCTTGTTCCCTAGATCTTTCTCGGCCCACTTTCACCAGCTGTTCTCACTCAACCTTGTAATGGATCTCCATTTCCAGGACTCTTTAATATTTTTCTTCATGTTCTGTTCTTAGAACATTTCCTTTCCTACTTCTCCTCTCCTGTGACTGAAACCAGCCTGCTGGGGACTGTGGAGGGGTTTTTCCCAAGCAAGATGCAGCCCTGCTCCCCCTGTCCGTCCAGTCCCACTTCTGGATCCCTACAGGATCGTTGAATCCATCCCCTTTCAAGGAGGCTCAAGTGGGGAATCGAACTCCCAACCTCTGGCTCCCTGGGCAGATGCCTAAACCACTGAGCTATCCAGGACTGAATGCCCACCTCGCTCAAGGAGGAACCTCTCCTGGGCACAGAACTACCTGCAGAGGTGGATAGCCCCCTCCCACCAGACTTCTCCAGGTGCAACTGCTCCTAAAGTTCCATTCCTGATTGTGACCAATGTCAGCTCCATTCTTAAAATGCCATCATTATTGCCATTTCTCCTGCGCTCGGTCCGAAAAGGGCAAAGCAGGATCCTTGAAAAGTTCACCTCTGGAGGGCTCAAGAGGTCTCCAGGAGCCACTGCTGTCGGGGATCCTGAGGCCACCCAGCCATGCCAACTTCTGTTGAGCCCTTCGTTTAATGCGTTCCTATGGGGCCCCAAACTCACCGTTCAGCGAAGTTCCTCCATAGCGCCACCATTTTCGCGCCCTCGGTAAGCGAGGGCAGGGCGCAAAAATGGTTGTGGCGGCCATTTTGGGTGTCCGGCGGCCATTTTGGAACCGCCAATCAGCTGTTTAAAAAACATCGCAATGCGAAGATCAGTAAGCGAAACGCTTACCGATCATCGCAATGTGATGTTTTGCCATTGAAAACATCGCTATGCGCATTCATCCTTAAACGGTGCACTCGTTAAGCGAGGCACCACTGTAGCTTGTAACAGATTATAGGAAGAACGGGATGGCTATTCCACCATTATCCATCAGTGGAGACTGGGTAGAAAGGGTGAGGGTTTTTCGTTTTTTGGGTGTCCATATTGAGGAGAACATGACTTCAAGCGTAAATACCTGAGAGGTCCTGAAAAGGGCTCAACAGAGATTGTGCTGTCTCGGGATGCTTAGGAAGAATAACATCACTCAGAGACTGTTGGTCTTCTTTTATCGATGCTTAATAAAGTGTATTGTCATACAGTACTTCAGAAATAAACTTAAAACCTGGCTATTTGGGCAGGCTTTCCCTCCTGCTGTATCTTAATTTCTTATACTTTCGCCACCTTGGATCTATAATATACGTTTATTGGTTTTATTGTTTTAAAATTTGTAAACCGCCCAGAGTAGACCTTTGGTCTAGATGGGCGGGATAGAAATCCAATAAATAAATAAAAATAAAATGCATGTGCACGTGGTACGCGGGTTGTACAGTGGCCCAGAGAAAATCGCTCCAGAAGGTGATTAATACAGGACAGAAGATTGTTGGGTGCCCCCTCCCCACCTTGGAGGAAATGTACAGGTCCCACTGCCTCAAAAAAGCACAAAATATTATAAAGGACACCTCCCACCCTGGCAGTGGTTTGCTTGAACTACTACCATCAGGAAGACGATACAGATCTATTAAAACAAGGACAAATAGATTTAAGAACAGTTTTTATCCAAGAGTGACAACTTTGCTAAATTTAGTTAGGATTTAATCTGACTTATTGTAGTTTTGCATGTGAATGTATTTTGTTACCGTTGTATTATGCTGGAATTTTGTTAGGAGTTTACAGTGGAGTCTCGACTTACGGTCAGTTCAGCTTACGAACTTTTCGAGATCTGTACTTCTCCGGCTGCAAATTTTCACTTCTGCTTGTGGCTGGAGAATTGATCTACGGACCAGAAGAGGGAGGCGGGGGAAAAATTCAAATTTGGTGCTTTCCCCGCCTCCCCCTTCCACTCCATAGGCTGCAGATCTGCCTCCGGATGCCTTCCAGGGCTTCTCTGCTGCCATGGGAGGAATCTCGGAGCCACCACCACCACCGATAGTGCTTCCGAGGCACTATCGGCAGCACTCTCTGGTGTCTCAAAAGGCTTAAGTTATCAACATAAGATTTCCCACACTCCTGGCGTTTATATGGTTTCTCTCCTGTGTGGCCTTTCTGGTGTGTCTGAAGGTGTGCATTTTGAGTAAAGGATCTCCCACACTCTTGACATTTGTATGGTTTCTCTCCAGTGTGGACTCTCTGGTGTGCCTGAAGGATTGATTTCCAAGCAAAACATTTCCCACACTCTTGGCATTTATATGGTTTCTCTCCAGTGTGAACTCTCTGGTGTGTCAGAAGGTAGGACTACTGAGAAAAACATTTCCCACATTCCTGGCATATGTATGATTTTTCATCATGGTGCATTCTGTGGTGCTGAAGACGGTATGAACCTGCGATGGACTTTTCCTCCAGGAATATGCCAACCCCCTTTTCAAGGCATCTAGGCCAGATACCATTACCACATCCTGTGGCAAGGAGTTCCACAGACTAAAGAAATGTTTAGTCTGTGTCAAGAAATCTTTTCTTTGGTCTGTTCTCACTCTCCCAACACTCCATTACAATGGATGTCCCCTGGTTCTGGTACTGCGTGACAGGGAAAAGAGCTTCCCTCTATCCACTTGATCCATGCGCTGCATAACTTCCTAGACTTCAACAGCATCCCACTTGACTCCGGTTAGTGTCTTTCTTGAAGGTGGCTGGTGAATTTTGGTTTCTTGCTGCTCCTACTGGCAGACAAACCCAGACCCAGCCCATCGACAAAGGGCCAGAGCCCCCTTCCATCAGAGAGACATCCTGACACTCAGCTTTCTCAGCTCACACAAGTATGTTGGCATTTCCCCCTCCCTCCCATGCTTTGTCCTTTGGACCCACCTGCCACTGGAATGCAGCCTCACTCCTGAGAACTTAAAAGTTGTCCTTTGGGCTGAAGCAAGTCTCTCCTCCTTGCTTCAAAGCAGTGGTTCTCAACCTTGGGTGACTTAGGTGTTCATGGACTGCAACTCCCAGCTGTGCTGGCTAGGATTTCTGGAAGTTGCAGTCCAAGAACCTCTAAAGACCCCAGGTTGAGAACCGGTGCTCGAAAAGCAGCCATTCTCAACCTTTTTCAGATGAGAGGGAAAGCGACCAACCCTACAGTCAGCCAGTGGCTCCATGGGAACTAAAACTCATTGGTTGATCGTGCGTAAAGATCCTCTCCCAAAAGAAATACTACCCTAAAAATGGTCGGACAAATGCTGTGAACGATCCCATTTTGGAAACGTTTGCGAAGGCTTTGTGGCATGCAAGTCTCTTGGCCCCATCCTCAGGCCATACCACCTGGAACTGATCCAGTTTAACCTGACGATGGTGCTCTGGGCCTGGCCTTCAGATCTACTGGTATCGACTTTGAGGCCTGAAGATGGAAGCAGAGCCAGCCCCACCTTGAGACTGTCAGGATTTTGTTCTTTTGGTGAACAGGGAGTTAAATTTTAATATTGTAATGGAAGTGCAGAGTCACGAATGTAGAGTAAAAGCCAATGTAATGACCAACAGCATACAGGTGTAACAAGATGATGTAATGCTTGATTGTTAAGCAAGACCAGCTGTAAAGGGTGAAATGTGATTGGTTGTTCTGAGTATATATGTAACAAAGACAGAACAGACCTTTGCCACTCAGCAGTAAGTCTGGTGGTCATTTACTTCTATGTCATTGCTCTGAATTTTTTTATCCCAAATGTATATTGCCTTGTATATATGTGTAGCTATCTCTAATATACTATATTATATTCACTAAGAACTCTCTCATTCATTTTCTCCCCACGTCTCAGTCTCTTACTTTGCTATATTTAAGTGGGAAGAATAGAAGCAGTCTAATAAGAGGCTCTGTATAACTACTGTCTTTAGTTTCCAAGGCTTGTCTTTTCCTAACACAGTGCTCTTGCCAAGCTTCACATTTCAACCGGACTCTTAAGAAGTTTTCTTGAGGCCAGAGCCTCATTAAGCCTCTGGAGTTGTGGCCCCACGCCAACAGAGACATGTTCAGATAAGTGCTTCATGAAGCAGAGCGTGGTCCCAGGCTTTAAAATCAAGACTCCCATCTCCACAGAATAAAGCTTGTGTTCATGTCACACCGAAATGTTTTACATGTTTAAATTCTGTTAACCTGAAGTCTAGTCAGGTTAAACTGTTCATGTAAATAGGTAGTAAAATCACAGGGTTTATCTTATCAATCAGTGGATCAAGGGTACAAAATTCTCCACTAGAAATATTTTGGCCTGCTTTTGAGCACATACAGATGAGCCCTTTCTGCCTCCATTCTTACTTAAATCAAGAAACAGGGTTAGAAGAGGTAAGCCACAGAGCTCACGTTTTGCTGACCAGCGCTCAGGAGCGTCTCGTTCAATCTTGTTTGCACATTCAAGAATACTAGGGCCCGACACTGATCTTACTGTACAATGGTGCCTCGCTTAACGATTGCCCTGCATTACAACGAATCTGCTTTACAATGATCTTTTTGTGATCGCAATTGCGGTCGCAAAACAATGGTCTAAATGGGGGAATTTCGCTTAGCGATGATCGATTTCCTGCTTTGGGAACCGATTTTCGCTTTACGACGATCAAAAATAGCTGATCGTTGGGTTTTCAAAATGGCTGCCGGGTGATCAGAATGGCTCCCCGCTGTGCTTAGGGACGGATTCCTCGCTATACAGGCAGAAGAAAGTGCCGCCG